TATGTGAAAACATTTGGAATTTAAATTTGAGCAAGTTCCTGAAAGGGAACAATCAGGAGACCAAGTAGAACAACACAAATACGAATGGATTTAGATACGTGCTAAATAACATCCCTGTATATAACAAGCGCTTAGGGAGCAAGAAGGCATGGGAAAACATATGATTACTATGCGAAGCTTGTCCTAGATGTTCATGATGGAAGACGAACTTTCTACAACATATGCAACAACAGCAATTGATTATCTATATATATATCATGATGTCACATGCATTAATATCAACTGCACTGAAGTAAGTGGAAGTAAAGTACAGACAATATGCCAACCAAGATTCGACAAGCACTGCAAGATGCAATATAACTCCACTTCACCAGCAACTTAACCATAAATTAATTCCAAAAAAAAAGAAACTTAACCATAAGTTAAAGTTGGAACATCAAAATCAGATGTAATCTGACAAGAACAAAGAAATGCAGTTCTCAACTCTCTATAAAGCATTACAATTTCTCAGAGACACAGATGGCAAGCAAGACTTAGCACCATAGTTTCTCTCCATAATCCACCATATATGTACTGAAATGACTTGGATCTACTCATATATTCTTCACTAGCAAGACCGAAATAGAGTAGAGCATACCAGCATTGATGTGGCGGTATCCCTGGTATTTCCATCAATCCGAAGTACAGTGCTAGCATCACTGTAGAACTGGTGAACAAATTCTGGCTGTTGCTGTAGGACCTGATAGTACTGCCCAACAAAGTATGTCCCAACCTAAATATCGCAACCAAAAAATTAAGCAAATGAAGAACTCAAAAAATAGTTAAAAAAGAGATTTAAAACTTCAAATGCAGATTGATAATAACAAATTCGTGCTCTAGAAATTACACAGTCCAGATGAGCGTCTCAACCAGAAGACGCCAATATTGTTACCAGTATATTATTCCCAACCCCCCACCCCTGCCCCCTTCCCTTCATAGACAATTTTCAATCCAAAAAATCAAACAAGTCCAACAAAAAATGAACTGAAAACACCGGACTATACAACCCCCTATCCGTTCAGAGTACTAACAAGCATTTTGTATTTTTTTTTTCTCGAAAGACACGAAAACACATCCACAAACACCAGAGTCAATAAGATGCTGTGCCAATTGCACGTAATATTGTACAATACACATAGAAACAAGATAGACCTCCATCTATAAATCCCCTGATTCACACAACTCTGTAGATTGATTACAAAAACTTTCTACCTTATACCCAAAACACACATCAAAAGAGTCCTCCGAGCAACCCTAACTGGTACCAAATGCATGTTGTATTGTACAATGCTCATTAAATAAAGCAACCCAAAATCCAATATATCCCAACAGTCCAACATTCACATCTAAACCTTCTCTCTCACACACTCACGCACACACTTTTCCGTGAAGCCAAGCCAGCTGAACCTTGACATGCAAAGCATACACGGATTCAGAAAATCCCAGCAATATACTGTTTTCCACACACAGTGGAGGTGGAAGTGGAGATTTCCTAGTAAAATACCTGAGCAGCAGTGACGGGCAAGTGAAACGGAGTAGCCATTGCTATCGGGATTGAAAGAATCCAATCCCAAAATCGAGTTCAGAGAAAAACAAAACAAAATTAAATTAAAAAACCCTAGATCTGCAAAATGGGGAAAAATTCAGCAGCAAGATCCAGAAATTCCCAATCCAAAAACCCCTAACTAAGATTCCCGCATTCCCATTCCTCTTCTCTCACGACTACTAACATCCAGAACGACGCAGCAGCAGTAGAACTGGAGTAGAGTTGGAGCAGTAGTGTGTGTTTGTGGTGGTGTTTTAGTGCGTGACACTGCGACCAGTGTGGCGTTTTATGTACATATATATTTATACGTATATTTACGTTAAATTGTGGGCGTCATCGAGACCACTGGATTTGAGCTGCGTTTCGCTTTTTGGTTTTTTGTCTCGGCATAAAGTTGAAACCACACAGACGCGTAAATTGGCTTTTTGTAGTGTGTGTTTGTGTGTGTGTGTGTGAGTGAGATTGTGGGGGATTAGTAGAGTAATTAGTTGTGGCTAGGGGTGTTTCGCGAATCGAATCGCAAGTACGAGCTCGAATCGAGCTCGTCAATATCGAGTTCGAATCGAGTTTGAGCTAATTAAGTCGATCTCGAACTCAAAAACATTAAGCTCGTTGGCTCGCGAGCGGCTCACGAGCTCAATTATATATATATTTTTTATTTTTTATTTTAATAGTAAAATTACATATATATTTCTAATATTTTATTATTTGTTAAAAAAAATAGTTTTATTCATTTTTTTAACATTTTTTTTTATTTATTAAAAATAAAATAATAATAAATTTTTTTTTTTTAAGCTCGAACTTGAGCTTGATATTTTGAGCTCGTCGAGCTCGAGCTTCACAAAATTAACTCGAGCTCGACTCATTTGCATCCCTAGTTGTGGCCTGGATGCACTGCTATTACACTTTTTCTTTCATCTTTTATTTCTTCTTATGGTTAAATGCACTTTGCTCCCTTGAAAGTTGGGAGGTTTGTTCACTTTGCCCCCTTCAACTTTAGAAAATAGGCACTTGGCACCCCCCATATTAACAATCAACATAGTCTCAACCAAATGCTTATTGGAGAAGAATTAATTGAAAAGACCATTTTATTTTATCATGTACGCCGGGAGGGGGGGGGAGGGGGGAGGGAGATTGGCCGGTGAAATTATAGAATTGACCTGCAATCAAAGGGAATTAAAAACGGTGTATATCATATGACTCGAAAAAAATTAGAGAAACAAATAGGATGGAAACATTGAGGTCTTAATTGTGCTTTAAAAAAAAAGTTTCCCTTAACTTAAAAATCAAGGGTCTATTTAATGGGTGTCTATTGGACTCGTTAAGATATATTTGAAGTATCATATTTTTTTAAAATATAAAATTAATTAAAATAAATAAATAACTATAAAGGATGACAGGTAAAATCAATTTGCTCCATCATGACGAGGTCTATTGTGCATAGTTGAGTGGCAAATTTAGGGAAAAAGAGATAGTTCCAAAGTGCAACAAGTGAAAAAGGCAAATAGTGGTCAATTCGTGCATCTTAAATAGGTTATAGTGGTCATTATTGATGGGTCAAAATTTAACCATTAAGAACAATAAAGGCTGAGATTACAGGTGTTCTATAGGGGTATTTTGGTAACAAAATTGTGATGTTACCATTATATTATGCTTGAAAGTACAGCGGGGGCAAAGTCAATTGAGCCCTTTTGGGTTTTTGACCAATCACTTTTTTCCTTTTCAGGTTACTTGTTAGGACTTAGCGGTAGAATTAAATCTTGTTGCATGTGGTAAATAATTGGTTCAGTTGTGGGTCAGGGTTGGACGATTGTGGCGACTGATTTTACTGCTTGTTGAGTTTTTAGCAAGTAATATGTATGGATTCGGGGTAGAGAAAGGGCTTTTTCTTTTCTTTTCTTTTTTTTTTTGGGATTAGAATAAGCCACTTAATTGAATAGGTACTACTTTATGTTTTGCTTTTCTCTAAGCTAAAAATTTGATAGGTAACTAATTTTTTATGCGAACTATTTGGTAAACTAAAGGGTGGTAAGATCTGATTTTAAGTCAGAAATATAAACACGGATATCCACCTAAAAATGTTTATTAACTCTTCTTTTTATCAACTAATTTTATTTTGGTTAGGGCTTGGGGGTTTTGTGGAGGCTAAAAATTGATAATATACAAGTAGTTCTATTAATAAATTTAAGGAATTGCTATACGAATTGAGTCTCATTCCTTTACTCCAGTAAGAATCAATCTATTATATTCAACTAAACCTAAAAGTACTAATATTTTTAAAATTATTTTTAAAAAAAATTACACCATTTGTCTCTCACATATTACTGATGTTAAATTTTAGTTCCTGAAAATTAAAATGAGTTATTTTGGTTCCTAACAAATAAAAAAAGACTCGCTTTTGATCTTTGGTCAACTTTTCGATGAAATTTTGACTGGGATTTTGGTCCCTTGTTTGTGGATTATTGGGTTCAAATTTCTCATGGGTCTTAATCTTTAGGATCCTTGGATGTAATTTCATTACAACTTTATTTGAGTCTTATGGAGAAAATAGAGTAGGAAATTTGAAGTTTGAATTTCTCTTTTGATCCTTTGATTTGTGTTTAGATGATGATTTTTATTTGATCTGAAGTTTGGGTCATGTTTGAAATGATCTGAAGACTCGATTGATGCCAAAATCATGTTGTAAATTTTGTCGAAATAGCTTTTTGACAAATTAGGTTGAAAAATCTACAAAACTAGGCTAGGAAGAAGATGGGATCCAACAAAATCTTGTCAAAATTCAATTGGAAAGTTGACTAGGGATAAAAAACAAGCACTTTATATTTGTTAAGAACTAAAATCACTCGTTTTTACTTTGAAGGACTAAAATTTCATATCAGCAGTATATGAGGGACAATTGGTGCAATTTTTTTGAATTATGTCTTATCCCTTCTTTTGATAAAATTATGTCTTAGCGTTACACCTTGAATTAACATGTTTTACTTGTAATATGCATGGTTATACAGCTAAGGAATTAAGAGTTCCCAAGAGCAAAATGTGCTGCTGTATCACAGATTGGTTGAAATCACTGATCGTGTTTGGCCTGTGATTTATTGCTACCCAGTCACTGTTTATTAAATCTGCTGTACTTGGATACATCACACACACACACAAAGCCACGAATTCTGGCCTGTTCAACAAGACTGAGTCGATCAAACGAAGCCATGAATTCTGGGCTGTTCAAGGATGCTGAATCGATCAAACCAAGATATTGCTAGGATGAAAAGATTTCCATCATAGGGTAGGGGAATGAACTGTAAGTGTCTTTTGAGTTTTCTCCCACATGAATTTAACAAAGGGCACCAAGGAGTTGTTATGAGAAGAATGGAACTAGGCAACCATTATATTAGCTTCCAGAAAAAATGGACTGATGGTATGTCTAATGCCAAGAACAGAGTATTCTCTTTAATCTCAGTAATGCAAGAAGTTCCATCATGCTTACATTATATTTGATTCTGATAGGAATTTTAGGTTATAACATTAACTAATTATCTAATGTAATTAATGGCCGAAACTGCTAAGAAAGGTACTAATGTTCCCAAAAAAGTCCCTTCAGCTGCTGAGCTTAACAAGCAACAGAAAACTTCTCATGAGCAACACAATGATCGTTACCAAATTCATTAAAAACAACTCTAAAACTTGCTTTCTTGCATCTTTCTATGTCAACGAATTTCATCTCTTCAACCTTTACAAAATCCTGTTCATCTTAATGTTTCTTTCCTTGTGCTAAGCTCACGCGCATCGGCCTTCCTTCCAATTCCTGAGAGATACAAAAGCATAAAAAAAAACTTAGTTTTCCCCAGTAATTCAGAAAACCAAAATTTTGATGCAAACTCGACCATGCATTAAAGAGTTTTACAGGTCTGCAATAGGTCTGCATCAGAATTTCCAAGGATGTAGGTTCCAAAGGGAGTAATCAAGAAGATCTAAAAGTTCAATACCACTCCATTGAGAGAATTCAGGGCTGCATCCATTTCAGCTCTTGTTTCATAGCATACAAAACCATAGCCTCTCGACCTTCCAGTGTCCCCATCATATAGTACCCTTGCCCCAACAACATTCCCATATTCTTGAAATGCCTCCGTCAAGCTTTCAGATGTAACTGACCAGGCCAGGTTGCCAACAAATAGTTTATGTTCCGTTTCTGGATATAATGGGTCCTTCGGTCTAGGCTTGTCTGAGAAATTTACCCTGAAGTTTCGACCACCATACTCCTGACACAATGAAGTGTTTTTAGCACACGTATACTTGAAGCAACATCTCATGGTGGGAAGTTAAAGAGGAACTGAAGACAATTCTGGAAAAAAGGGCAAGGACTAAATATATACATAGTATAATGTTTCTCCTTGCAGAGATAATATAGAAAGATGAACAGCTAAACAATAATCATCACGCCGACAGGGGTACTCTGTTTGTGAGAGAGAGAGATTACCCTTCCATCAAGATTTTGGATTACTACGTTGCAATCTTCGACTGTGCTCATTGTCACAAATGCAAATCCTCTACTTCTTCCTGTTTCCCTGTCGTATAGAACCTACAATCATGAAATTTGAGCTTATAGTTTGGCCCATGTTACAACTCCTCAGAAAGTCTCACATAATTGTTGATTTTCTATGCCATACAAGAAATTTATCTCACTATAGAATACTAAAAAATAGATATGCATCTTTAACAATGTATTATATTCAGCACATCTTGGTAGAGAAAAAGAGTCACCTGGGTTGAACTGCTCAAGATGGAACTTTGATAGCAAAGTTACATTCGTGATTTTCATGAGAAGTCAAAATGTGGTGCTTTTAAATTCCTATTTCAGCTTATTCGTTCTATTTCTTTAACAATCTTATTTCTAAGGCTTCTGGAAGCCAATTATATAATCAAATTTTTCCTAGATACGAAAGATTGGATGATCTTTGAAGTATTAGCAAGTCAAGTCAACAGTCTGCACCTGAATCAGATATGCCTGTACGAGTAGCCAACACTGAAGTATGGAATCATGTCTACCCAAGAAAAAAATTTCAGCACCAATTCCTCTCCTAAAAATTAAATTCTTTTTTCCAACATTGTTCGTCAAGAACGCAAAAAAATCAATCCAGGCAGTTTAACGAGGGAGAAAGATCGATATAGGAAAACTAAGACAATGGCAAGCTATTGAGGAAAAAAAAAAATGTTGGAGAGATACCTTGACCTTTAAACTCAATCTGTTACAACAGCTTCATTAGGCCTAGCATAAGGTAGAACAAAGCTTAAGATTGGGAAGGAAATTCAGTTCTGAAGGTGATATTTAGGTTTCCTTACCCGTTCCTGAAGTTCTAGAGTCCTATTCGATTAAATCACTCGATACAGGTCGTCCTATTATTTTGCCATTTTCTTACAAATGATGGATTGCCTGCAACTCTTCCATCTCCTCAAATCTTCACTAACAGCTAGAATCTTTCATTGCTGTACCACTTATACTGAATTATGTTTGTAACTAGTTATTCACTTAGTATTATTCTTATCTTGTACTCAATTAACAACTAAAAAGTACCACCATTATCAAAAATCATAAAGATCTTGAAATCAATCAGATTGAACCCATATTGAAAATGAAGCCTATTGTGATCCTAGCCTTAATCCAATACCAGTAAAGAGGTTCATATATAATGACCCCCGATGTTTAATGGAGATGAATCATCACAAATCAACCTAAATTATTAGTTGCATCCCATGTCAACAAGAAGAATCAAATTAATCTTGTGTATGTACTGCCAGCACAGGGACAAACTAAGCTGATTAGCTATCTATTTGTGCAATCATAGGTGGATAATATATACCTCAATCAGCTCTGGACTAGCATAGTCCTGTATGACCCCAGCAAGCTGTGCACTATCAACATTGTAAGGCAAATTTCCGAAATAAAGCTTGGTATTTACAGAAGAACTCTGAGCAACCTCCGCCTCACTTGACACTTCCTCTACTTCCTTCTCCTCCTGAATCACTTCCTCCACCTGCTCAGGGGCCGTTGCCTCTTCAGGAGCCAAGACAGCTGCCTCTTCTTGAGCTACTGCAGCTGCGATCCGTGAGGCCCTCCATTTGTTAGACAAGGGTCCGATCAAGATTGATGATTCAATCCCAAGAGAATGAGATATGGATGCTACTTGGAGCATTCTTGATGATACAACTTTAAGGGCAGGATCACAAGGCCAGTTTTTAAAGCGAATACAGTTAAGACTTTGCATGGATGCAGTAAAAGAAGAGGTTACAGCTGCAGCAGCTGTGGCAGCCATGCTTTTGCCTGAGAATTTCCAATGGGAAAGTTGTTGAGTACAAGTGTGATTTTCAGTTGAAAGAACGTTTATTTGTAAGATGGGATCAGGGATGAACAGAGTTGAGAGTGGAAGGGAAGTATGGGCTTCCCAGTTGGCTATGCTCTGAGTTGGGAGGATTCTGGCCAATTAGATTGGAGGAGATATATGGGGATAAGATTCCAGTCTTAGGTTCCAGGTAGAATTTAGGCTTCCACCTTTTGGTGCTTTTGGCACCGCTGGTGTTTTTTAAGCCACATACTTCTTTAAACTTTAGTGCTCTAAATTATAGGGAGTTTAGTTTGACATTCAGACGAGAAAAATTGCTGTAATGTTCTGAAAGTTTCTTGTATAACCTACTTAGATGTACTTAATTCATATTTAGGAAATGGATTTTTCTCATTAATTAATCTACTTAGCTATAAATAATTTGTCTTGTTAATACATGCTATAAATTATACTTTATTTGCCATGTGAATGTATACATTCACATCTATTGTACTTGTGCATTAAGACACTTTTTTCAACTTAATAAAAGAACTAACAAATAAGACCAGAAAAATTGCTATAATATTCTGAAAATTTCTTGAATAACCTACTTAACTATACTTAAATTGTCTTTAAGAAATGGATTTTTCTTACTTATTAACCTACTTAGCTATATATAATTTGTCTCGTAAGCATATACAAAATTACATTTAAGTTGTCACGTGAATGTACACATTCACATTTATTGCACATCTGCATTTAGACATTTTTTTCAACTTAACTTCATGTACGAAAAATTAACAATTGAGATATCGCACAACAAGTTGTTAGCTAATGATAAAAAGTTAACATCCAAAGATGTAACATTTCATAGCTTTTAGTTTTTTTTTTTTTTTTAACTTACATGTTTATTGCTCGCAAATTTAGGTTAGGATTACCCTTTTGTTGGAAAAGATTAAATCATTAGTCTATTATTTAGGAATATGGGTAGAAAAGACAAATCATTAGTCTATTATTTTCCATATTTAACAAGTCGAGAGTAATATAAAATACGCTTTCAGTAGCCAATACTAGAAACGTCACTATTGCACCCCGCCTTTAGGTTACCTTTAGTACGCAAGAATCCGGGTGTTTTCTGCTTCAGAGTTTGAACCGCTACTCAACAGTCATCTTTCTTGTTTTCACTTCAAGAAATGTTTGTGAACCAGTGATGGGCTATGTTTATCAACATTCGTCCCATTCAAGCTATCAAACTCATTCGAATTTTTTCTCTCAAATCCCTTACTATTGTCCGATGTATATCAGCCCTGCCCAACTTAAAACCCCTCAACTCAAAGCTTACGAACTTTATGAAAAATGGCCAAGTTGAAGAAGCCCAAAATCGGTTCGACGAAATGCCTCACAGAAACACAGTAACATGGAATGCAATGATCAGAGGGTACTTCCAAAATGGGAATGCTGATAAAGCTTTGCACTTGTATAGTCAGATGCCTGTTCGTGATATATTTTCACATAATACTGTGATCTCTGGGCTAATGCAGCGTGGGGATTTAAAGGGGGCTGAGGAGGTTTTTGAATGTATGGGTGATAGAGATGTTGTGACGTGGAATTCGATGATTTCTGGATATGTGAATAATGGGATGGTGGATACTGCACTTGGTGTGTTTAACGAGATGCCTGTGAAAGATGTGATTTCATGGAACTTAGTCATTGCTGGCTTAGTGAAGATCAAAATGTTGAATTTGGCTGAGCATTTGTTCAGGGAAATTGCCACTCCAGATGTTGCGTCATGGACAATTATGATAAAGGGGCTTCTAAGTGTGGGACGGATTGCTGAAGCGAGAGAGTATTTTGATGGTATGCCAATAAGGGATGTTCAAGCTTGGGAAACTATGATTGTTGGGTATTTGGAGAATGGATATGTTGAAATTGCAGAAGTTTTGTTTCAAAAGATGCCCAACAAGGATCAGAGTTCCTGGAATGAAGTTATTGGTGGGTTGGTGAGTGTTGGGCTGTTAACTGATGCTGTGAAGTTTTTTGGAGAGATGCCTCAGAAACATGGAAGACTGTTCAATCTAATCCTGTTGGGGTTCATTAGGAATGGATTGGTAAGAGAAGCTCACACTTTCGTAGAGAAATACTGCATTAGTGATGTAGTGTCATGGACAAATTTGATCATTGGATACTTTGAAGTAGGTGAGGTCAAGAGTGCAACTAAGCTATTTGAGTTGATGCCAAATCGTGATACCACGTCATGGAATGCTGCCATATTTGGGCTAGGAGAAAATGATCACATAGAAGAAGGTGTAAACCTATTTATTAAGATGAAAAAAGAAGATCTGACCCAGGATGAAGCTACATTTACAAGCATTTTTGTATTATGTTCTAATATGGCTTCTTTAAATCTTGGCATGCAAACTCATGCGCTTGTAATTAAGGCTGGATTAGATGATTTTACTTCAGTAGGTAATGCAATAATTAACATGTATTTTAGATGTGGAAACATAGGATCTGCATTTGGTCAATTCTCTATTATGTTGTGCCATGATGTCATTTCATGGAACTCTATAATCTGTGGATTAGCTCACCATGGAAATGGTGAATTAGCTTTGAAGATGTTTGAGAATATGAGATTGACAGATGTGAAGCCCAATGAAATAACCTTTGTTGGTGTACTGTCCGCCTGTAGTCATGCTGGACTTGTGGAAAGAGGTAAATGTTACTTTGATGCCTTGAAAAATGAATACTCTGTACCACCCACTGCTGAGCACTATACTTGTGTTGTTGATCTGTTGGGTAGATTTGGACTTATACATGAAGCAATGAGCATTTTGGATCAAATGAGAGGTGATGGCCTAGAAGTGCCTGCAAGTGTTTGGGGAGCCTTGCTTGGGGCCTGTAGAACGCATAAGAACTATGAGGTGGGTAAAATTGCTGGGGAGAGGATTTTGGAATTAGAGCCATCCAACTCTGGTATGTACATGATGCTAGCTGAAATTTTTCAAGCTAGTGGGCAAAGAGAAGAAGCTGAAAGGATGTGGATTAGAATGAAAGATGAGGGAGTAAAGAAGCAACCTGGATGTAGTTGGGTTGAATCAAACAACAGAAATCACATATTTCTGGCTGGAGATCGGACTCACCCTGATTTTTGTACTGTATCACATACACTGGAGTTGATGTACTGGGAAATGGATGGAGGAGTTCTTACAGCGGAGGCTTCCTCAGTTCAAGAAATTGAAGTCCATATACGTTTTCCATCAGCTCCATGTTCGGGTGAATTGCTGCCCTATTGTTAGTTACTTTACGGACTATTGATCGAGTACAGTGAAGTAGGGATGGTTGAAATTTGCTAGCGTTGCCTGTCAAAGATCTGTCAAAGGACCAGTTTCAGACACAAAAATCCAGCCACTTGTCGAAATGAGTAGATGTAATTGTCCATATTGGGAGGTCCACTGGTCTAAGAACAGGTCATAATACGCGGGTTAGTGTATAGTAGGCTTACTTTGGCCTGCGAGGACACCCTTTACTTACAAGTGACTAAACGATTGCTATGAATGGTAGGGAGGATATGAAGAGTTATTTCTAAGATGTAGAATACGGATTACGTTTTAAAGAAAGTATTCTATGTAAATACTACAAGTTCCAATGCAAAATATTCCATAATTCATATTTTACCCTATCTTTTGCTGGTGGTAAACAGTCTAACCACGGGCAAATTGTGTTCTTTTGGCGATTCCTGCACCACCATCAACTTCTACAGCCTCAATGCTCTTGATAGCATGCGCAGCAATTTTGGTATGATGTTGTCTGAATCAAGAACCAAATCCTTGAACATCCCTGATGGGGCAACGGGACATTGTACCCTTGAGTATATGTTGTAACTTGTAACACCCATTTTTGCACGGGAAGAATGGCAGAATTAAGATTACATCCTGTCTTAGTATTCAACAAGTAGAACTGAAATGTGATTGAGCTGCAAAATTAATGGAACTTACTAGGATATTGTTACACAGATCGGATTGGTGTATTCTTTTTGGTGGATATTGATTAGGACCTTACACTGCTATTAAATGAAAATCGTTCAAAAAGTCCCTTACATTTTGTAAAATGACTGTTTTGTCCTTCATTTTTAAAAGTGTAATTTTACGTCCCTTATAAATTCACATTGGTCAAATTTGGTTCTTACTTAAGTTTTCGACTAGTTTTTAGCCAGAATTCACCACGTGTCTTGCATGTGATCATTTTTTAAAGGCAAAATTGTCAAATCAAAATTTTCATAGTTAATGTATTAGTCTCTTACATTTCACAAAATAAATTATTTTGTCCCTCATATTTCACAAAATAAATTTTTTCATTTCTCACATTTCACAAAATGAATTTTTTCATCTCTCATTGACCATATGTACGAATAGTTTTTTTTTTAAATCCATGTATATATCTATTTGATTTCACTTGAACAGTACGAATAGCATGTAATATATCTCTATTTGATTTCACCTAAACAAACTAAGTGTAGTTGTACAAATGCTATTCAATAGATATTTACATGGATTTAAATCTAATAATTTTGTTTTAAATTCAGATATATATATATATATATGTATATTTGATTTCACCATGTGAATCTATTCAATATTTGTAACCTTTTCTATTTTGGTAATAATTCATTTATTGAGTTATGTAAGACCATCTAATTAATCGTTATTAATTCGAATTCTATAGTCATGCTAACAAATTGCAGTTTAAATCTAAAATTTTTACTCCCTACCTTTAAGGCCAACAATTAAATTTCTTGCCGTATGATTATCTTAAAATTTGAAAGTGTCAATTACTTACTTCTTTTTGTTATACTTTTCCTTTCTTTATTTTTTCTGTCCAAATTTAATTCGATATAAACACTTGATAGTGTTTAGAATTAAACGTTTTTTTTGTTTTCAATTTTTGAGTAAAAGGAATAAACATGAGTGAAAAATTAACAAATTTTTTAAAACCCCTGTATATATCTATTTTAATTTCACCTAAACAGTATGCTTAAACGAAATCAAATAGAGATATATTACATGCTATTCGTATTGTTTAGTTGAAATTAAATAGATATATACATTAGTTAAAAAAAAGTTATTGGTACACATGATCAATGAAGGATGAAAAAATTTATTATGTGAAATGTGAGGGACAAAAAAATTCATTTTGTGAA